ACAGCATGCATCCCAGCTCTCTGCCAAACCTTGACATTACACCGCTTATGATATCGAGCAATAATAAGGATATATTCTGAAAATGCTCGACCATCGAAGGCAGTACTCATGGTCTCCGGTAAAAGAGGCCAAGCAAGACTACAAAATCCAAAGTCTAAGGCGTGTTGACAAAAGCATTTCCGCATTTGTGCAGGCTCTGCCGGCATAGAGGTATATAAACGATAAATTATTCAAGCCTCCACACACTACAACTGATGCATGGTATGTTGCTAAGGTACGGTGCTAAGGTTCGTTTCTAAGGTAGGCACGTACGTTGCATGGTGCATTGCATGTTCAGATTACGAGACTCCAATGGCCATGCAGAAAGATCTTGAAGATCTCTACCGATTATAGTGTTAAGAATACACCTAGCACGAACATCAGTGCAGCCATTCAGGCCCCTGCGTCCTAACACCCGGTCCCCGACACTGTGCTGGGGATTAACACCCGGTCCCCGACACTGTGCTGGGGATTAACACCCGGTCCCCGACACTGTGCAGGGGATTAACACCCGGTCCCCGACACTGTGCTGGGGATTAACACCCGGTCCCTGACACTGTGCTGGGGATTGCCAGAAACACAGACGGCAGAGTCGAGATGCCTCGACCTCCTGTGCCGAGCATGAGGGCAGACAGCAGCTTGCAGCTCAGGTTAAGGTAAGGAAGCAGCTTACCATACGTAGACGTGGCCACGTCTTAAATGTCCCTGGTTCCTTTTCTGTTTTGATGCCATTCTACGTGGTCAATACAAAAGCGATCTGCCCTGAAGCTACTGGGTCCGGACCGCACAGGTCCCAGTGCTGACTGCATCCGTGCTGCCGGACATCAGTACATTCATACATAATCGTACACACACACATATCCATCCATACATCCAGTGCTACCGGACATCAGTGTCTAAATCAACGAACAGCAAACTACTTCCAAACGCAATCTACGTTAAAAGACTACTCTAAATCGGTGAATGTGCACCATTGCTGGGTGCCTATCTACCATGCGTTCTCCAATGGCGCGTATACATTCTGTAAACGTGCCTTACCAATGTTTTCACTACATCGGCTTCGAGTGGTGCATTTTGCTTGTTCCACATGAAATATCCCTAAGAAAAGGTTACAAGGAAAAGGGAAATGCCACTTATATACGATATCCCTCCGTGTGATCCGTGTCAATCACCACTGCAGCTCATGCACGCATGTTTGGCAAAAAATATTTCAGCTGTGCACGTGGGAGTTTCAAGGGCTGACCAAAAAACATGCACTTTAAACTAGAACCACTGGTCCACGCTACACTAATGGTTTGTTCACTCAGGTATTCACGTCCGTTGCGTGTGAAAGGCAAGTGACATCATAACAAAACTTTAGCGTGTTATAGGTACTCGGGTGTGCTTAAAATGACATCCAAAGGGATGCCGGTGGTGTAGTGGTTAACGCGTCTGCGTTAACCGCTGCGCATCTGGGAAACCAGAGGTATGGGATTTGATTCCCCGCGGTGTCCGCCCTTCCTGCCAGGGTGAGAGGCAGGCGATGCCGTATAGCCTCAGCAGCTGAGTGCGTCGTAAGGCCCCAGTGACACACACAGACACACCAAATGACATCCAAGAAGGCTTGCTCGTTACGCGTTACAAATTTAGTTCTCTGACTACTTTGTTTTAAACTTTCACAGCATTTATTGCATTTAGACAAATAAATGGGTGGCAAACATTACAGAAAAATCATGGTGAAAAAGGAAGACAAATGAAATGCATTACTTTCATAGTGGTAAGCACGGATTACAATTATATTTCTCTTCACGAGCGGCCGCTTTGAATCAAAACTGTGAGGTATTGAGAACGATTTCAAGAAAAATGGTGTAACCGATCAAATCGGACACGTCTGATGTAACAATAAGTGAAAAGCTAAAGAAAAGGTAGCACTCCCTTTAATGACTTCCCTTGGGCCAGGACCCAATTGAATCAACCGGTTGTGATTAATGAGAAAAGTCTCGTTTTCGTTCACTAATGGTGACGCGAAGGGTGAATTCACGGGTCGGACCGGGAAGAGGAGTACTCCAGCAGGACGGGTGACACCGCACACGGCACGAGCTTCACTGGATTGATCAGGACAAGGAGTGGCTTCAGCAGGACGGGTGACACCGCACACGGCACGAGCTTCACTGGATTGATCAGGACAAGGAGTGGCTCCAGCAGGACGGGTGACACCGCACACGGCACGAGCTTCACTGGATTGATCGGGGCAAGGAGTGGCTCCAGCAGGACGGGTGACACCGCACACGGCACGAGCTTCACTGGATTGATCGGGGCGAGGAGTGGCTCCAGCAGGACGGGTGACACCGCTTACGGCACGAGCTTCACTGGATTGATCGGGGCGAGGAGTGGCTCCAGCAGGACGGGTGACACCGCACACGGCACGAGCTTCACTGGATTGATCGGGGCGAGGAGTGGCTCCAGCAGGACGGGTGACACCGCACACGGCACGAGCTTCACTGGATTGATCGGGGCAAGGAGTGGCTCCAGCAGGACAAGTGACACCGCTTACGGCACAAGCTTCACTGGATTGATCGGGGCGAGGAGTGGCTCCAGCAGGACGGGTGACACCGCACACGGCACGAGCTTCACTGGATTGATCGGGGCGAGGAGTGGCTCCAGCAGGACGGGTGACACCGCACACGACACGAGCTTCACTGGATAGATTGGATGAGCGTTTCCTTGAAATGCATAGCCCCTGGCCGACTGGCCGACTCGCCCATGGCGGACTCGAGGCCCATTTCCGTCACAGAACCCCTTGTTTGGCGCGATGGGCCCCTGGCCGACATAAAGGGCACATAATTGGCTCAGGGACCCCGACCAATAAAATCGCACGAGCTCCGGTCTGGTTCCTGCGAGGAAAGGGAGCTACAGAAAGACCCAGACCAACGCAGAGCCCGGTTCTGGTGGTACCTGACCGACATAGAGACCCTCATAGACATAGAGGACCCATAATCGGGGCATAGGGCCCTCGGACTGGAGGGTCCGGCTATACGAATCGAGCCCCTTAATGCGACCTCCGGGGAGTGATCTTTCGGTTGCAGAATTGGTTACTTCTCAATGACTGGGTGACAACATAGGTCACCGAAGACAGAATGAAGTAGTGTATGAAATAGGAAACTGCAAACACTTGGCATTTGAGAATTTGCCTGTCATCCGTACTGCATGACACCGCTTTTGAGCATACCTGTAAACGATTATAAAACAGTGGGTGACACACGTTATGTATATCACCGAGTGATGTACGAGGTACAAGTGGTCAAAAATGAAAAAGTGAGCATGCTGCTCGACGCCTTAATTCCGGATAAATATCGGCCGAATCCCAATGTCTTGAGTCGACCCTGTACGCGCAGCTCTGACCCCCCCCCCCCCATTGGTATGTTGTGTTGCATGCATGCATTTAAATGCTGAAAGCTTTCGATAACCTGTACTAACAGCATAACATGAATTTCGTAAACGTTTAGCAGTAAAGTACTCAAGCCTCTCCCCTCACTGCACCTGGTCCTGCCGCTGACGGTTGGAATGGATCAGTACATCACTTTAATGTGATCAGTTTGATCGGGAACGGTACTGTAGAAAACTTCGGCAAAACATCATTTTGGTCTTAGCAAGAAGCCATGAACAACACATTCAGCTTGAATGAACGGTTTTAAGTTTTGCGATTCTCTAATTCCTCCAAGTCTTTGAATAAACCATGATTCTTCCTGCTGTGGCTCCCAAAAACATTCGTAGGGTCGCTGCTCGATAACGCAGGGAACTGCTAATTTTTGCAACTTATGTGAAACTAGTATTTAATTTAAAAGTTGTCAATTTCATGACACCAACTCTAGCGGTGAGGAAGGCAACTGCAAATAATCTCCAAGGGGAGGGCGTGGGAGGGAGGGATGGCGTATGTCTCTTGCTTAGCGGCGGGGCTAAAGTGGGTGGAAGAGATTAGTTATGTGCCAGTGCGTGCCTTCACGTACCTAGCGAGGCATAAACCTGCTGCAGGCCCTTTTTTCTTCAGTTCCGTTTTCTTGGATTCTTGAGTCCTGACCGAAATTATCTCGAATTCACACAGGTAGCTCCACGCCGGAATCTGAGGCGGACGGGCCCTGACCCTCTGCTTCGAGGTCGAGTTAGTCATGCACGCTTCTTTGTGTTCGATATGGAAGATGCGGAGCCGGATACGCTCAATGATGAGCAATCCAACGCCACTTAAGCAACCGACGTTCCCTCCTTCATCTCCCTCCTCTCTCTCCTGATCCAAAGCTTGCTCGAAGCCGGATACGCGTCAAATGATGAGCAAATCCAACGCCACTTCAGCAACGACTATCTCCTCTCGTCTCTCCCTCTCCTCCTTCTCTCTCTCCTCCCCCCTGATCCAAAGCTTTGCTCGAGCCGATACGCGTCAATGATGAGCAATCCAACGCCCCTAAGCAACCGACTCTCTCTCTCTCTCTCTCTCTCTCTCTCCATCTCTCTCTCTCTCTCTCTCTCTCTCTCGTCTCTCTCACTCGCTCCCTCTCTCTCTGCTCTCTTCTGATCCAAAGCTTGCTGGTCTTCCATGACCTGATCTGTCTGCTCAGCCTGTAGGTATGACGTCACATCACGCCAGGCAACAGCTGTGTCGGTTGCAGAGCTCGGAGATGGGCTGCAAGTGACCCCATCACCCGCTGACGGCGCTACGCCAGCCGCCGTTGCCCCCGTCGCCTGCGCTGGGAGCATGCACGGAGGCGTGCGCAGAGCTCGGACGATCTCAGACGAGTGGGCAATTAGCCAGCGGCAAGTGCTGTCAAGGTCGCAGTCGGCTGGCGGGGCAGAGAGAGGTCGGTACGGCTAGGGAGCCCGCCCGCGCGGCCTCGCCGCCGAGGGCGCTTATAAGGCCCGGAGCTGGGGATCTCAGCATCAGTCGCTTGTTGCAGCCGTCCCAGCACCACAGATCTGAACACCACAGAGCCATGCAGCTGGTGAGTGGTGTGTGCTGTAGTGGCCCGTACAGAGGTCATGTGCCGGGCGGCTGAACGAGAGGATAACCAGGCAGATGAAGCATGGGGGCCGTCCCATAGGTGCTGCTCGTAGTGTTTAATGCTTCTTCAGGAAGGGAATTTCATTATTGTTGTAGAAGTTTGTCTAGTCGAGGACTTTTAAGCTATCCGTTCTTTGCAGCCACTAACTTTGGATACTCAGGCAAGTTGCGGCACTTTCGAAAACCTATAAATATTTGGGGAACCTCATGCCCGTACACACTAAAGAAAGGAACTTTGTAAAATAAAACTTAATGCCAGAAGCAATTACGTCCTTTGTAACAAGAAGGGAGTGGTCTATTTTTATTGAGCCACTGTATTACATCTTTTTATTATCAAAATTGTGCGCATATATTGCAAGCATTGCCCTAGCTAACGCACTGGCCTTCTCGCCAGTTCGTCTTCGCCACACTGGTGGTTGCGGCTGTGGCTGCTCCGCAAAACTACAACAATAATCAGTTCGTGAGCTCTGGACAGCCTGAGATCCGCATTCTCAGCCAGAGGTTCGATCAGGACCCCAACACTGGAAGCTACGAGTACAGCTACGAGCAGGACAACGGTCAGGCGGTAAGTTTTTAAGATTTCACCCATGCTCATTTCGCGTCATGCCAAGTGGATTGCTCATCTGGTGAACTGTTGACACTTCATGACTAAATCCTTCCGATTAACGTAAGTAGTCATCCGCACAATTGCCAGCGTTGTACTTTATGGTTAGCAGTATAACGTTAAGTGCCAACCAAGCGAGGTGCTATTGGTTTGAATTTTGCAGTTCAGGCTATCCATACTTCTGGGTAAGAAGACGCGAAGGCTGACTTTCCTAATAGGTGATTAAATCCCACTCCATATGCAAAACAGAATCGGTTCTAACTTTATGGTGGCAGTGTTCGTCTCATTTGTGCGTTGCCAACTGGATTGCTCATCTGGTGAATTGTTAAACTTATTGGCTGAATGTCTTTGATTAACGTAGGTGGTCATCCGTACACATTTCCAGGGCTGTACCCTACGGTCAGCAGTATAACGTTAAGTCGCAAACCAGCCAGGTGCTATTGGTCTGAATCTTACACCCGGATCACGCCTTGTCCGCATGGGCTGGGGAACTCAAACCCGGCTCCAAATAGGTCAGCGTTTCAGCGCCGGTCGTAGAGAGGGTCAAAGAATAGAGATCGCGAACTTCACATGACTACGGGCCAGACCTGCATTTGGTTGCTACGGTACTTTAGGACGTCTATACTTTTGAGTAAGAGGATACCGAAACTGACTTCCGTGATGGCTGACTAAATTTCACTTCACATGCAAAAGGGAATCGTTTTTAGCTTCATTTCCGAGGTTGTCGTCTAGCTCATGCGTTAGTTACGCGGCACATAGTCCTAGAGATCAGCATTCACTGATAGCACATCATGTGCATTCTGCCTTGGCAGGTGGCTGAGACAGGTCAGGTGTATCCTGGACCTGAGCCAGAGACCGGCAGCCTCACCCAGCAGGGCAGCTACCAGTTTGTGGGCGATGACGGCAACACCTACCAGGTCAGCTACGTCGCCGACGAAGGAGGCTTCCAGCCGCAGGGCGCCCACCTGCCGGTAGCGCCCGCCCAGATCCCGGAGTACGAGCAGCTGAGGATTGAACACCCCGAGCTGTTCTGGGCAGAGCAGCAGCAATACGTCTAGAAGTACCGCGTGTTCAGGCCCTCTGATAGTAACATCAACCCAAGTTGTAGGTGGCGTGCAGCACGGAGCGCTCGCTACATTCAAATGCGTTTAATGCAGGCTACACGAACAAACTACAGGTTTATTAAGGAATAAGATGGTGAAATTTTTATGCACATCCTTTTTATACATTCCTGTGGTTCTCTTCTGTGCGGTCGTGCTGTACGCCTACAGATACTGTTGGTGTTTGCTCAAATGCCTTGTATGAGTACTGTATAATGACTTTGGGCAATGCATGCTAGTCTTTATCAATACACTTACGCAAAGGCGTGGTTTGTTTTTATGGCGGTCGTGGGCTCGGTATTCAAGTTGAAGCCGAAGGACTTGTTGGAACAGAACGCTGAAAAGTGAGTGCTTTGTTCCACCGTGCAAATGACATCATGTTATAACGTGTTGATAGTTTGATGTGCACAAAGGGCAGCAAACGGGGAGCATGATGTAATCTGCATAATTATGAATGCACACATTGCAGACATGGGTCACAGTACAAAAAATTCAGTCCATGTCGGAGCAGGAGTCCTGGTGTTCTGAGTTTGAATCGAATTTCTGACTCCATTGTTGAAACATGAACCATCCCGAGTGTAAAGCTCGAATGCAGTCACTTTTCACGGCTCATGATGCTGATTATGCGCTGGAGTCCTCTGGTGGATATTGCAGATGCTGCAATTTGGAACAGGTAGACTTACATGCAGCCTCACTGACCCAAACGTAATTCTAACCCTCTCAGAATGGGGTTCGGATGGTGGTCAAGAAGATGTTATTTCCCCCCGCCCGTCCCCCTATCCCTCTAACCCCCTCTTATTTCCTACACCGGAAAATAGAGAATGCTGTACATAGGTGCTTCCCTTCTGCTTTCTGCGATTCATTCCACCGGTAAGGAGTCAAATAAAACAATACACAGGGTTAGTTAAATGTGGCGTAAAGACATTGTGGCATTGGTATCAAGAGCATGTTCTGCGCCAATATTGTGAATCATAAAGTCCTTGTCTTGACATTGGCCCAACCACAATGTTTATTTCCAGGTAAGCAATAAAATAACAGTCTATATCCATATCCCCTGCACCTGAGTCCGGACTATTGGAACTCAGGTGCTAGGGATGTGAAACGCTTGATTATCTTTTTTGGCCCCGATCGCCGCATGGTTTGTGGAATTGCGACATTTGAATGAAGTTATTATGACGTCATGAATGACAGGGTGACCTTGAAATACTCTCCCCGAAATAGTCTCCCCATCTTCGCAGGCGTGTAGCTCGGAAGCTAGAGGGGTTTAGGTCTGAAGAAGAGCAGCGCTGCGAACTGCATCAAATGATCTTCAGAATGGCTATTTCAGTTTAGAATGTCATAGAAATGTGGAACACTTCCCTCAAATCGAAATACAAGCACGTGCTCATAACATTTACGAAGTTTTCCTGGCGGATGCTACTACGTCTTATATCACCCTCCCAACACTATTCAGTATATAAGTAACCACAGATAAGGGCGCTGACATACGGCAGGTCAAAGTCAGGCGACGCATTCAGCGGAGACGATTTATGTGGAACCGGTCCCTATGGTTCAACAATATAGTGCTAGATCAGACCATACATCCCTGAGACACTTTCTTAAGCAACGCATTAACTGAAACTATAAATTTCATTGACCTAGGATCAAGTTTGAAGATCTTACAAAGTCAAAATTATTTTTTTTCTAGAGCTCGCTGTATGGGGTGGTTTCTGATGCTCGTTTTAATTTCTGTAATAACGCGAACTGCAGTATGCATCGTTCATGGACTTCGTTAAAGTCAGAATAAATGACCGACCTAAATTAACCCTGGTCAACATTTTGCTTGTTAGTAACATGCCGCCATGCGTAAGACCTGACGCTTATTCAAATGTAAAAATAAAGGCGACCTTGAATGATTTTGGTCAACATGACATTATAAAGGTCAAACATTGTCGCTGACCTTCAATAAGCACCGGTGAGCTTTGCTTAGAACACATATCTATATTCACGATGGATGCACGAGAAGGTCTGAAGGCCCGTTGGACACCAATCTGGAGTTTGACCATGGGTGACCTCATGTTTCCAAAAGGTCATGACCCAGAAACCGCACATTTTAACACATCTAAGTATGCGTGCAAGTCAACGAACTCTGAAGACTTGGTGTCCTTAGCTCTCTTTTTTTAGATCTAAGGGTTGCCAAATTGACCCCCTCCATACCTGAGCAAAGGGTATTCAACCGGCCACCCGGGAGTTTGTTATCACATGTTTTTCACTATTTTGTTGCATCCTTTTGCGCAAGCGGATTTCCATGCACTTCCTAGTGTGTAAGGCCTAAAATGCTTCGAAGTACACATATGTTCTTTTATGGCTTTGTTATGTTCTTTTGTGCACTGAGTTCTGACTTCAGACTGACGCGAGCAGCTGCCGGGACAAGGTCTTTTTAAAACATTCCATTTATGCTTTGCTATGCCTGATGTTTCATAGGAATTCAACATAATCCCAGTTTCCGGTTTGTACATTATTCAGTCGGTTTTCCACCCTTGATCTTGATATGTTCAAGATGGATAGGATTCCGGGACCAAGGTCCGTAAGCTCAGATATTTCGAGCTAGAACCGCTAAGTTCGTTCGTCATTAGATTTGTTACACGATCCGTCCTAACCTCTTTTGTTACTTAATAGCCGACGCAGCCATGACTTACTTAATGCTGCGGACCAGAACTCAATCAGCACCCATCAGGGGAGAACAAAGGTGAGCGCCTATGTAGAAATGCGGATGGGGATGACACTAGCTGCGCCGCTGCACCGAACCATTAGCGCGGTTGCTACCACCGGCTGCAAGCTATTCCAGTCGGTGGAAAAGCAAACCCCTCAAGCCACACAAACCCACCCTGCCACTTGTGGGTGAATGTCAGGCGTTTTCTTAGTTAGTAGGAGGTTAGGCGCAAGATGAGATGTCAGGACAGGCTTTTTCGCAATGCTCACTCAAGGCTACTGAAACGTCGGACAAGAAATGCTTAAAGAGGGTTTGCAGCTGTTGGTAATTAGTGGCCATGCGGAGGTTCTTGCTGGAGTCCACTCTAGGTCAGGCCACCACCAGCCAAGATCTTAACTGCGCGCCAGAATGCGCCATTGACAAAGCACGCTGCTTCAGTCCGCTGCCACCTTTCATCAAGTACGGGCATCTAGCATAAGGCTGGAGCCTGCGATATCAGCGCCATTTACTCGTAGCTTAGCTTTTACAGCCTGAAAACAGATGGCAGAGTTTCACGGCGTTGCAGTTCCGGCCCGCGCGGCGGGCCACGGAGATGGGTGTTGTTTCTCGACATGTTTGGTGGGTCAAAGTTGTGTAAGTTGCGAAGTGAGGACATGTACACAACAATTCTCGGATTAATCCACTTATATTCTGGTCACCCGCCATGTATGCGTTCATGCGTGATTGGGTAGTTTGATCGGTACAAATCCTATGGTACACTTCAGTGAAACATCGTCTGCACACCATCCGTCCCTCTTATCGTCTATCTCGCTTCATCCTGCATCCTCGCGGCACCCCGCTTGTCCGGGACAGGATGCATGCGTCAGCCACGTGTGGGCCGAGAGCCCCGTGGGAAGGGGGACCCCGGCCGGGTACCCGCGCATGCGCGGGTTAAAGCCCGGCGGGTGGCCCCCCAGGCGCATGCACGTCTGTCCCATCGTTAACCATTTTCCTTCATCCCATAGCCCTGAAATGGTCATGTCTGGTCAAAAAGGCTCTAATCCAAAAACCAAACGCCAAAAAAAAAAACATCGTCTGCACACATCCGACCTTCTTATCCTCTGTCTTGTTTCATCCTGCATTCTAACGACACCTCACTTGTCCGGGGAGGCTGCATGTGCCAGCCACAAGTAGGCTGAGAGCCTGTGAGAAGGGGGGCCCCGACCGGGTACCCAGCGCACATGCGCGGGTTAAAGCTCGGCGGTTGGCCCCCAGGCGCATGCAAACCTGCCCCACCGTAGACCAATTTCCTCCATCCCATAACCCTGAAATGATCATTTCTGGTCCAAAGGGCTCCAATCCAATAACTAAACCGAGCAACCAGTCGTCTTTCTATTGCCAACGAGGCACGAGCGACATAATCAGCTTAAATAAAACGCTGTGATCACCGCTGAATGATGGTGAAGCAAGTCCTGATCGAAATCGTCCCTCAAATTCGCACAGGGTAGCTCTCCACTCGAGTCAGAGGCAGATGTGCCCTGGCCCTTTGTTTTGAGGCCGGGTTATTCATGCACGTTTCTTTGTGTTTGGAAATGGAATACGGAGACAGATAGGCGCCAATTAATAAGCAATCCAACGCCACGGGAGCGATTGCTTCCACAGTCTTTCACCCTATCTCTCGTTCGCTATGTTCCATGCCGTGAAACAGGGTTCTGTCCTGAGGGAACGCAGTGGAATAACGAAAGCACAAATTTTGCGTAGCAAATAACTTAATGCATACAAGGCGCGGCTTCCATGCATTGAGTAACTACATATAAGGTAGTGTAAGCATTTTTCGGTGTAACTCTCCTCATGCCGCCAGCGATATTCATTTCCCTCATTGGTTCCTATAACAATATATCATATATAATGGAGCTGCTATCGTTAATGTGGCTGGTTCACCCGTCGTGACCCCAGCCACTTCTGAAATTTGCTGATCTAAGTTTGTTTCTCGTAAAATGTATTTGGATTGGTGGCGATGTTCGAGTTTGTGGATCATCCACCATCATCACCCGCTGACGGCACTTCGCTAGCAGCTGTTGCACCCGCCGCCCGCGTTGAGATCAGAGCTACAGATTTCCAGAAATTACTGTCCAATATCCGATCCGAACCCCTATGGATGGACCAGCACAATTTTTCCGCCCAAGCGGTGTCAAAAGTCAGGATGTCCATCATTTTCAAGTCGCTATATCAAATCACTTTTAAGTAAAGCCGACAGGCCCAGCCACTGCTGATATCGCTACATTTCCTCATCTTAAACGAATGAAAAGGAAGACAATGATTGCTGGTAAATAATGCACCTACTGCGTACCAATTTGCAACACGGTAGAATGATATCAACTTTCCAAAAATTCCGGAGATTTCTGCCCCTGTTCGTCGAATTTCAAACTTAGACTTCGGCAATTTCTGAAAATCTAAAAATTTCCAGTCAAGTGGGCACATCAACCTGGACGCCTGCGCGGGGGCATCCATGGACCTCGGACGATCTCGCGGGTGGGCAGTTAACCAGCGGCAAGCGCATTCAAGGGCGTCGTCGGCCGACGGGGCAGGGAAAGGTCGTCACGGCAGGGGAGCCCGCCCGCGCGGCGTCACCGCTGCCGCCGCTTATAAGGCCCGGAGATGGAGCTCTCAGCATCAGTCGCTTGCTGCAGCCGACCGAGCACCACAGATCTGAGCACCACAGAACCATGCAGCTGGTGAGTGGTGTGCTGAGACGCCCGAACAGCGGCCATGTACCTGACGGCCGAACGAGAGGCAAGCCGGGCAGATGCAGCATGGGTGTCGTCCCATAGGTGCTGCTCGTAGTATTTAATGCATCGTCGGGATAAGGTATTTTATGATCGCTACAGTAATTTGTGCAGCTCATGACTTCCACTTGGTTGATTTTCCTTTTTTGACTGCGGTTGCTGGGAAAGTCCTGTAACTTTGAAGTGTATAGGAATGCTTGTGCAATACTAAGTTAACGGCCAATGAAAAGAGCAGCTTTGGGGGATTAAAACAGGCCTGAGGCAATTACAACATTTGTTTTTAAATATGCATAAATATACGTTCTTTAAGCCACTGAACGCCACATTTTTCTTGATCAATTGGTTCACATATATTGTAAGAATGGTCACAGCTAACGCGCTGGCATTCCCGCCAGTTGGTCTTCGCTACACTGGTGGTTGCGGCTGCGGCTGCTCCGCAAAACTACAACGCTAATGAGTTCGTGAGGTCTGGACTGCCCGAGATCCGCATTCTCAGCCAGAGGTTCGATCAGGACCCCAACACTGGAAACTACGAGTACAGCTACGAGCAGGACAACGGACAGGCGGTAAGTTTTTGATAATTTTATTTATACTCATTTCACATGATGACACTGAATTTTTCATTTGGTGAACTGTTGACACTCCATGACCAAATGCTTTCGATTAGTGAAGGAGTCACCAGTATACATTGCCAGGAATGTACTTGATAGCCAGGAGGGCAACGTATGTCGCAACCAAGCCGGGTGCGGTTGGTCTAAATCTTGCAACCAAATGGCGCCTTGTCCGCCTGGATTGAGGAACTCAAAGCAGGCTCCAAATAAGACAGCATTTCAGCATCGTTTATAGACAGGGTCATTGAATAGAGATCGCAAACTTGGCGTGACTACGGGTCAGACGTGCATTTGTTGCTACGGTACTTTAGGCTGCCAAACTTACGGGCAAGAGGATAAGACGACTGACATTGCTAATGGTGATTAATTCCCACCTCACATGCAAAAGGGAATCGGTTCTAACTTCATTTCCGAGGTTGTCGTCCAGCTAATGCGTTAGTTATGCAGCACATAGTCCTAGAGATCAGCCTTTACTGATAGGACATCATGTGCATTCTGCCTTTGCAGGCGGCTGAGACAGGTCAGGTATACCCTGGACCTGAGCCAGAGACCGGCAGTCTCACCCAGCAGGGCAACTACCAGTTCGTGGGCGATGACGGCAACACCTACCAAGTCAGCTACGTGGCCGACGAGGGAGGCTACCAGCCGCAGGGCGCCCACCTGCCGGTGGCGCCCGCGCAGATCCCGGAGTATGAACAGCTGAGGATTGAACACCCCGAGCTGTTCTGGGCAGAGCAGCAGCAATACGTCTAGGAGTATCAGTCATTGAGGCTCTCTGATACTAACATCAAACCAAGTTAACGTGCGTATGTGGAGTGCAGCACGGAGGGACTTGACACTACATTTGCATGCGTTTAATGCCGACTGCGTGAGCAAATTCCGGGGTTGCTAAGAAATGAGATCGTGGAATTTATATGCATATTCTTTTCATACATTCGTGCTGTTCTCTTCCGTGAGCTCGAACTGTGCGCCTGCAGATAAGATTGGTGTCTGCTCAAATGCCTCTTATGAGTACTGTGTAATGACTGAGCGATGCTTACTGGTCTTTATCAATACACTTATGTAAAGGCGTAGTGTGCTTTCATGGCATTGGCGGGCCGGTTATCTGTAGTGAAGCAAAACTACTACTTTTAAAATGGAATTGAGATGACCTCCTCACCATAAATAGGTACGCGATATTCGTTAAGTAAGCTGTGCTTCATGAAGTTTCTTGTTTCAAGCTTTCCGTCTGAAAATCGTAGTGTCATTGCACGTTTCCCAAAGAGCTACAGCTCAGTAAAAAACACTCGCCCGCGGGATTTGGACCAAAAGCAAAAAACCCTCTGTCATTGAAACAACGACATCTTAACGTGTGCAAAAACCATTCGAAAACAATGTCAAACATTCTGGAGGAGGAACGAAAAAGTTTGAAGCTACTGAAAATGCACGAGTGCATAATTTTTAAAAAGAGTAAAAACTGTGAGGCATTGGTTATTTTGAATAAGGTAACTTACGTTAACAAAGTTAACGATCTACCGCAAGGCAAAAATAGCTACTAAAAACTGCCCAAGAGCCCAACCACAAAGACTGAAGCAGAAACCAAACAGATAGTTCGCCACATTTAAAAAAACAAGCGTCTCGACTGAATTCTGATAGGCCTTCTACTCACCAAGTATACAACACCAGTTTCCTTTCGGCTACTAAAGGACCATGGAGGATAACCCCTGCGGCGCATTTATTGCGTCTGTTTGTGGCGGCCCCACTGAAATAGACGCCTAGGCTCTCAGATAAGATCTTATAACAACTTCTTGCCAACATAACGGCTCGTCTCAGAAACACAGAATACCTGACAAGACTCAAACATCAATTCCCTGGCGACCAACTTCCACGGAGCGCCACAGTTTTCAGTATCGATGTTGTCAACGTACATGACATCATCCCGCTGGTGGAGGCGGTATCGGCGGTCATTGGCCTTATTTGTCAACACCAAACTGATGTTGACCATTGTGGCCTCACACCTGCGAGCATCAGAAGACTTCTTACGCACTGTCTCCCAAGAAACACTTTCAGATTTGGCGATGAACAATATAAACAATAACTCGGCATTTCCATGGACAACAAGGTAGCACCTCAGGTTGCAAAAATCCTTATGCACAAATTTGAACGAGTTGCCATTAACAACACGAGTCTAAGACCTAACTTTTGCGGCAGATGCCTCGACGACTCTATGAGGGCCCAGACGCACGCTCACAATGAATTGCTGGACTTGATTAAACACTTTAAATCTCTCCATAACAGCATCCAGTTTCCTCTAGATAACACACATACGGCTGGACAGCTTGCATTTCTGCATTCATTCACGACGGCTAGTTAAAACTACCAATTTTCAACACAACTCTTCATCAGGCCTAAACATTCTGGAATCACCATCTATAACACAGCACCCCATCCCATGTACAAAAAAGGCAGTCATCCGTTCAGAATTTGGACGTGCCATGAAAATATTGCTGAATGTCCTCTGCAAATGACCTCCATGTGAAAACAAAACACAAAACCTGTTCGAAGCAAACGGCTGCTCCAAACAACTTAAACGTCTCCTTCACCGAGAAGTCACATAACAACATCGACTGAAAAAACAACGCCGAGACAAACGACAGCAACGGGAGCATCATCATCAACATCAACAGGACATAGTCAACATCAGCAGGCACACCATCAACACCAATGGGATCAAGACCTGGGCGAACTATCTTACGTTACCATATGTGAATGAAGCTTTTGTGTGCAAAGATACAGGCACTTGCGAAAACAATATAGTCTTACTGTACGTTTAGCATGGCAAAGCCATTATACTTTGAAAGCGCAACCTAGTTCGATCAGCTTTCTCACCACCTCATTGTCCATCGGGCAACCGTACTTGTAATGTTTGTATGTCTGGTTTACCAGGTAAATGTTTGACTCTGGTGTTGTGCATTATTGAACATAGTGAAACTTTTACGTAGTTTCCTAAACAACAGTTTTTTTTGTCGAAAGGGAACTGTAGGGAGAGCGTTTTTTCTCAAGATGGCCTTTACAGAAATCAAGGGAAATCTGGAAGCTTGGGCTCCGTTAAAAACTTAATGCGTTCAAAACACGTAAAAATTGCTATTTTGCACAGCAAATAGCTTAATACATGCATGACATGGCTTCTATGCAGCGAGTAACTACCTATAAAATAGTGTAGACATTTTTCGTTGCAACTCTTCTTATGTTTCCGGCGAGATTCATCATTTCCCTCACTCACTCCTGTAATGATAGATCATATCTAATGGATCTGCTATCGTTGATGTGGCTGGTGCATTCGTCGTGATTAAGCCACTTCTGGAATGTGCTGATCTAAGCTTATTTTTCGTAACATGCACTTGAATTGGTGGATATTTAGGTTTGTGGATTATCCGCCATTTTATACCAGAATTGATTTGACACCAATTTGAACTGCAATCAAGCTGCAACTACATTTGCGTGTTTTATTCAGCGTAGACTACAGTCTTATCTCTTAGGCTTGTAAAAGGTCAGGTCCGTCGCACGCGTGCACAGCGTGCATCTAGCCGCCTAGCCGGCTTCTAACAACTCACCGATTTCGCATATCCTAATAGCTGTATGCATTGGACGATACCAAAGAACACATAGTTACTGAACAGGAACACTCATTTTCTTTTGAACGCTATCAGTCAATATGTTGTTGGAAAAGTTGCACGTTCTTCAACACCTGATAAATGCGGAGATATAAGCTCATTGGACGGCCTTGGTCAGGCCACGCGATGCATGATGACTCATTTAAATGAAAATGTTGCACATGTGTATGGGGTTTTGAGCCATAAAGATAAGACAGTAGTATCAGCCTTATTCCTTAGAAAATCCAGGAGAATGGAGATATAGTTAGGTTGATATTTCGGCAACATGCATTTCTCGAAACAGGAGCAGAAGACTTCTGAGTTCTGACTTCTGATAACCTACGGTAATGTACGTAATCGAGCAATGACGTATTGAGGAGGACTTTTGCTGAACAGAAAAATTGCGTTGTCTAGAGCAGTCCTTTCTACATAAAGTAGACCAGCAGTGATAAGTGACCTCATTTTATCATACACAATGCTTGTTTCAATATCTTCAGATGTAGAACATTTTGTTTAACCAGAGCATCCTTTCACATTGGGTAAGCCTTGCGAGCCGCATTGCTTCCCCCTCGCAATGCAGGGTTGTATGCTTAATGATTCCATCTGCACTGCAATGCACTCACGGAGCGGTGAGCTACCACAACGTGTTTTGGGCATACAAAATCATGCTTCATGGTGTGATGCATTGCTAAATGTTCATGAATATCCTGATTGCTACTGCTTCCTCCTTTTGTCCGAACAGATAGGTTACGTTGTTAGAAAATGGTACTTCATGAAGCCGATGGCCTCTACACCATCACACCATCACCTGCTGACGGCACCTCGCTAGACGCCGCTGCACCCGCCGCCCGCGCTGGGAGCAGAAGGGCCAATTTCCAGAGGTTCTTGTCCAATGTCCGATCCTAACTCCAAGGATGGACCAGCACCAACTTTCCGCCCAACAAGGTGCAAAAATCAGGCTGTCCATCATTTTCAATTACGTTGTATCAAATCACTTCCAAGTAAAACCGACAACCCCAGCTCTACTGCTGTCGCTGCATGCCATCACACGAATCGAATGAAAAGAAAGAAATGATCGCTGATAAGTTATGCACATAATGCGTGCGACTTTGCGACACGGTAGAATGATATCAAACGTCCAAAAATTGCACTAATTTTCCCCCCGTTCGTCGAATTTCCAGCTTGGACTTTGCAAATTCTTGAAATTAAAAATTTGTCGTCAGGTGGACACCTCAACCTGAACGCATGCGCGGGGGCATCCACGGAGCTCAGACGATCTCGCGGGTGGGAATTAGCCAGCGGTTAACACTGTCAAGGTCACCGTCGGTTGACGGGGCAAAGAGAGGTCAGCACGGAGGGAGAGCCCGCCCGCGCAGCCGCGCCGCTGCCGGCGCTTATAAGGCCCGGAGATGGAGCTCTCAGTATCAGTCGCTTGTTGCAGCCGACCGAGCACCACGGATCTGAGTAACACAGAGCCATGCAGCTGGTGAGTGGTGTGTGCTGTAGTCGCCCGAACAGCGACCATGTACCGGACGGCCGAACGAGAGGATAAACAGGCAAATGAAGCATGGAAGTCGTCCCATAGGTGCTGGTCGTAATGTGTAATGCATCTGCAGGATAGGATGTTTCGTGATCGCTCTAGTGATATGAGCAGCCCAGGACTTTCAATGGGCTGGTTCTTACCATTTATGGACTGCGGGTTCCTGGAAAAGTTTCGGAACTTCCCAATGTGTAAGAATGTTTGTGCAATACAAAGTTAATAGCCCATGAAAAGAGCAACTTTGGAGGATCCAAACAGGCCAGAAGTAATCACAACATTTGTTCTTCGGTACGGAGGAATTTTCCTTGTTTCAGCCACTGAATGAAGCTTTTTTCTTGTCAAACTGGTTCACATCAATTGTAAGAATGGTCACAGCTAACGCGCTGGCCTTCTCCCTAGTTCGTCTTTGCTACACTGGTGGTTGTGGCTGCGGGTGCTCCGCAAAACTACGACGCTAATCAGTTTGTGAGATCTGGTCTGCCCGACATCCGCATTCTTAGCCAGAGGTTCGATCAGGATCCCAATACTGGAAACTACGAGTACAGCTACGAACAGGACAACGGTCAGGCGGTAAGTTTATGGGCAGTTTATTCCTCCTCATTATACGTTATGCCTTATGGACTGCAAATTTGGCGAACTGTTGACACGTCATGACAAAATGCCTTTGATTAACGTAAATAGTCATCCGTGCACATTGCCAGGGTTATGCTTAGTGGTCAGCAGTATAACGTGAAGTCGCAAGTCAGCCAGGTGCTATCGGTCGGAATATTGCACCCGGATCATGCCTTGTCCGCCTGGGTTGGGGTACTCAGACCCGGCTCCAAATAGGTCAGCCGTAGACGGTGTCAACGAATAGAGATCGCGAACTTCACGTGACTACGGGCTGGACCTGCATTTGGTTGCCACATTAATTAAGGCTGCTAAACTTGTGGGTAAGAGGATACGGCCTCCGATATTGCCAATGGGGGGATGAATCCCACTTCACATGCAAAAGGCAATCGGTTCTAACTGTATTGCCGAAGTTGTCATCCAGCTACTGCGTTAGGTATGTACCGCATAGTCTTATTGATCAGCCTTCATTGATAGGACACCATCTGCATTCTGCCTTTGCAGGTGGCTGAGACAGGTCAGGTATACCCTGGACCTGAGCCAGAGACCGGCAGCCTCACCCAGCAGGGCAACTACCAGTTCGTGGGCGATGACGGCAACACCTACCAAGTCAGCTACGTGGCCGACGAGGGAGGCTACCAGCCGCAGGGCGCCCACCTGCCGGTGGCGCCCGCGCAGATCCCGGAGTATGAACAGCTGAGGATTGAACACCCCGAGCTGTTCTGGGCAGAGCAGCAGCAATACGTCTAGGAGTATCAGTCGTTCAGGCCCTCTGATATTATCATCAACCCAGGTTAACGTTTGCAGGTGGAGTGCAGCACGGAGGGACTTGGCACTACATTTGCATGCGTTCGATGCCGGCTACGTGGGCAAATTCCGGATTTGCTAAGAAATAAAACTATGAAATTTATATGCATGTCCTTTTTATACATTCCTCCCGCTCTTTTTCTTGTGGTTGTACTGTGCTCCTACATATACCGTTGGTGTGTGCTCAAATGCCTCGTATGAGTACTGTGTAATGACTTTAAGCGATGTATGCTAGTTATTATCAATACACTTACGTAAAGGTGTATTGTGCTTTCATTGCAGTGGTTTGCCAGGTATTTATATTGAAGAAGAACGATTGACTTTGAAAGGGGTTTTAGATGACCTTTTTGCCACCCCTGTATACGTAAGATTAGTTAAGTAAGTTGCAGTTTTGGTGAAGTTTCTTTTTTCAAGCTTCACACCTTAGATTTTAGATTACTTTAACATTTTCCGAAACCTTCCAGACTCAGTAAAAATAGCGTCCATCGACTTTGGGCCAAACTGAAGAAAAGCCTAGGTCACTAAAACAACTAGTTTCTAACGTGTGCAAAAGCGCTGTACCACGAAAGAGGATCGTAAAGGTTTGAAGCTGATAAAAATGAAAGAGGACACAACTCTGAAACCGAGCGACAATTGCTAGCAGTCTTCTCATCAGCAGTCAACTTCTCACTTTCATAACGGCTCGTCTAAAAAAACACACACACACATAAGAATGCCTAACAAGACTCAAATATCAGTTTCTTGGCGACCAACTTCGACGGAACGCCACAGTTTTCAGTATCGATGATGTCAACCTACATCGTAGCATGCCGCTGGTGGATGCGGTATCGGCGGTCATTAGCCTTATTTGCCAACACTAGAATGACATTGAAACTGGTGGTCTCACACCTGCAAAAATCACAGGACTTCTTACGCACGGTCTTCAAAAAACACCTTCAGATTTGACAACGAACAATATAAAGAGCAGTTCGGCATTGCCATGGACCACAAAGTGGCACATTCAGTTGCAATAATCTTCATGCACAAATTGAAACAAATTGCCTTTAAGAATGCGAGCCTAACACCTGACGTTTACGCCTAACACCTTGACGATTCTAGAGGGGTCTGGACTCACTCTCACAGTGAGCTGTTAGACTTCATCACATACCTTAATACTCTCCATAACAACATCAAATTTACCTTAGTAGACACGCATACGTATGGACAGCCTGCATTTCTGAATACATTCGTGACAGTAAATCAAAGCTTCAAATTGTCAACAAAACTTCGCATAAAGCCTAACCATTCCGGGATCACCATCTACAACACAGCAACTCATCCTGTGTCGACAAAAAAGGCAGTCATCCGTTCAGAATTTGGACGTGCCATGAAAATATTGTTGAATGCTTATGCAAATGAACGCTCATGTAAAAAAAAGCAACACAAAACCTGTTCGAAGCAGACGCCTACTCCCAACAACTTAGACGTCGCCTTCACCGACAAGTCACATAACAACATCGACTGGAAAAACAACGTCGTAGACAAACGACAGCAGCGGGAACGTCATCAACATCAACAGGAACATCATCATCGACAGCAATATCGTCAACATCAGCAGGCACACCATCGACACTAATGAGATACAGACCTGAACGGCTATGGAACGTTACCATATTTGGTTAAGGCTGTGTGCAAAGATAGGGTCAGTTTTAAAATGTGCAAGATCAACTTCGTTGCTAAAAAATTTAGCCTTAGTGTTATTTCAGCATGACAAAACCAAAATACTTTGAAACACGTTCTAGGTCGTTTTTCTCACCATGTGATTGTCCATCCGGTGATCTAATTTGTAATGCATGTATGTCCGGTTTACAAGGTAAACGTTTGACGTCTTGTGTTGTGTACATAAACACATGTTTGAGATGTAAGGGCACGGGTGAAAGTTAAGCTTATACCGGCAAATCAAAAGACCCATTCGGCTACGGTTTAATGAACCGGTCATAGACGCAAAAACAGTGAAACAAAATAAAACTACTGAAACTCCCATTGGCGACCATTTTCTTTTCGCACACCAATACTATCAGATGCGGCGTGATGAGAACCCCATGACTGCAATAATTTTGCAAAAAAAAATCACCCTCATCTCAAAATGAGTCAATGAATCCACATACGCATGATGCAACCCTTTCTTAATAAAAATGTTTCATTCTGGAGAATAATGCAGTCGTAACCTCTACACAGCTACTAGCGGATACTACTACGTCTTATACTACGACGTGAACTCTATGCATGCTTTGACATGTCTGACGCTCCATAGAAATTCAGTAAAACAAAGACACCCGCAAAATCGCTTCGCATCGTCATCGGAAAATCCAAATTTCAACTTTTTCTTAGATAAAGTCTGTCTCCCAGCCTTGATTTTCATATCTTCAAGCTGAATGCGACTCCGAAACCAAGGTCTACCGAATTAATTATTTCGTCTTAGATTCGTTAGATTCGTTCGTCATTAGATTCTTTAGACGGTTCGTCCCAACCTCTGACGTTACCCAACCACGGACGTAATCATAACTTTCTTAATGTGATGGGGACGGAACTCAGTCAGCGCCATCGTAAGAAATCAAAAGTAAACATCTATGTCGCTCAAGCAAAGAACATGGGCATCGGGGGGGAGGGGCAGTTACTACGCCCCTGTGCCGAACCTTTAGCGCGGCTGCTCCCACCGCCCACATGCTATCCCACAAAAAGCAAGCCCCGAAAGCCACTCAAACCCGCCCTGCAACTGGTGGGTGAATGGAAAGTCAGGCGCTCTAGAAAACTGAGCTGTTGGGACGGGTGGTGTCACTTGAACGAAATAAAAAAAGTAGGCGGTCGTTGGTGAGATACGTACAACGTACACCTCATGATGTACATTGTGCATTATGTATACCAATTTGCAACACGAAAGAATGACACCGTCTGTCAAAAAAAAAAACACCAGGGATTTCTGTCCCTGTTTGTGGAATGTCCAACTTGGACTTATGCAATTTCTGAACTTGACAAAATTTGTAATCAGATCGGTACTATGACCTGGACGAAGGTACAGGCATTCGCAGAGCTTGGACGATCTCGTGGGTGGGAAATTAGCCGGCAATAAGTACTGACAAGGTCACCGTCGGCTGGCGGGGCAGTGATAGGTTGGCACGATGGGGTAGCCCGCCGGCGCGGCCTCGCCACTGCCTCCGCTTATAAGCCCCGGAGCTGGAGCTCTCAGCATCAGTCGCTTGCTGCAGCCGTCCCAGCACCACAGATCTGAACACCACAGAGCCATGCAGCTGGTGAGTGGTGTGTGCTGTAGTCGACCGAACAGCGGCCATGTACCGGGCGGCTGAACGAGAGGATAAACAGACAAATGAAGCATAGGGGTCGTTCCACGCAAAGATGCTGCTCCTAGTGTTTAATGCATCTACAGGCTAGGGTATTGAATGACCGCTGCAATAGCATGCACAGCCAAGGACTCCCAGCTAAGTGACTCTTTCCAATAATTGACTGTGTGTTCTTGGGAACGTTCCGGAGATTCCAAACGTGTAAGAATATTTGAGCAGTCTTATGCTGATAGCAAATGAAAAGGCAGCTTTTCTAGCTTAAAAAGGGCAGCAGCCATGAAGCGTTCGCTGATAAGTAGGGATAACTTTCCTATGATTGTTCACTGAGTGACCCTTTTTTCTTGTTAAAATGGTGCGCATATATTGCAAGCACTGCCCTAGCTGACGCGCTGGCCTTCTCCCCAGTTCGTCTTTGCTACACTGGTGGCTGCGGCTGCGGCTGCTCCGCAAAACTACAACGCTAATCAGTTTGTGAAATCTGGGCTGCCCGAGATCCGCATTCTCAGCCAGAGGTTCGATCAGGACCCCAACACTGGAAACTACGAGTACAGCTACGAGCAGGACAACGGCCAGGCGGTAAGTTTTTGAGCAGTTCATCTATCCTCATTACGCGTTACGCCTTGTGGATTGCTCATCTGGTGAACTGCTCATCTTCATGACTAAATGTCTTCGATTAACGTAGCGAGTCATCTGCATACATTGCAGGATTGTACTCGATAGCAGTGCAACGTTAGGTCGTAACCCAGGCGGGATTGGATGGTCTGAATCTTGCAATTTAAGCAGTCGATGCTTACGAGTGAGAGGATAGGAAGGCTGACTATGTGAATGGGTGATTAAAGCCCACTTCACATCAAAGGGAATGGGTTCTATCTTTAATGCCAAAGCTGTCTTCCAGCCTATGCGTTAGTAATGCAACGCATAGTCTTGGAGGTCAGAATTCAGTGATAACACACATGTGCATGCTTCCTTTGCAGGTGGCCGAGACAGGTCAGGTATACCCTGGACCTGAGCCAGAGACCGGCAGCCTCACCCAGCAGGGCAACTACCAGTTCGTGGGCGATGACGGCAACAGCTACCAGGTCAGCTACGTGGCCAACGAGGGAGGCTACCAGCCGCAGGGCGCCCACCTGCCGGTGGCGCCAGTTCAGATCCCGGAGTACGAGCAGCTGAGGATTGAACACCCCGAGCTGTTCTGGGCAGAGAAGAGGCAATACGTCTAGGAGTATCAGTCGCTCAGGCTCTCTGATACTAACATCAAACCAAGTCAACGTTTGTAGGTGGAGTGCAGCACGGAGAGGCTCGCTACATTCAAATGCATTTAATGCCGACTACGCGAACAAACTTCAAGTTTGCTAAGACATGGGATGATGGAAGTTCTATGCACAATCTTGGTGTACCTGTTCATGTTCTTTGATTCCGCTGGATATAGTATTTCATGTGGTGAAACGCTTACAAGCCGTCCATTATCTGTGTGGTCTTTCTGTGCGCCTCAAATACCGTTCTTGTTCTGCTTAAGTGTCTGGTATAAGTACCGTGCAATGACTTTGGCCGATGTATGCTAGTCTTTATCAATAAACTTATGTCAGGTCGTGGCATGTTTTCATGCCAGTCGTGGGCTCGGTATGTATATTGCAGCGTAGGAACTGTTTCTTGGAACAAACCATATCAAAGTCAATTTTTGCCCCGGCTTCCAAATAGCATGTTCTATCGAGTTGGGAGTTGGTCGTGCATAAATGGCGTAGCCAAGAGATCGGAGGTGCAAAATCAACTTTGCATAATTCCCGACGAAGCACATTGCAGACATGCGTCTAAGTAAAAATATTTCAAGCAAAGTCCGAGGTCAAGTCCAGGCGCTCTGAGCCCTAATCGAGTTTCTGACTCTTTTTTTGCAGCATTAACCAGTCCGAGTCCGAGGAAGAATGCAATAATTTTTCACGGCTTACGAGTCTAAGTCTGCATCCGACTCGTTAGAGACTCAGTCCACTTCCGAGTTTGGTTTTGAGTCTTAAGGTTTCATCCCGGGTCCATCAGCGGCAAAGTTAGTTCCACATCATTACGCTGGAGGTGGACATTGCAGATGATGAAAATTATAGTGTGATGGCTATGCTTGGTCTAACTGACCTTGTTTTAAGTCAAACTCACTGTTAAAATGAAGCTCCAATAGAAGCCAAAAACGTTTGCGATCCCTGCACGCACGCACACGCACGCACGCACGCGCACACATCCACCCACACCCACATCCCCCCCCCTCCCCACACACACGCCTCCTTTCTATTACACCCGAAAATATCTACTACAGCCGAAGATAGTGAAGGCCGAACATTTGTCCTTCCCTTCTGCTTTCTGCCTATTATTTCATCTGCAAAACGTCATACAGGAAAAAGGGCAGTTAAAAGTGGCTCAAAGACAGTCTGGCATTAATATCAAGAACATGCCCATCGTCCATGATGTGGTTCATACAATTCTTAACTTAGCGTTAGGCGAACCAAAACTGTTTTTCCGGGTCAGCAATAGAAAAATCATCTACCTGTACTTGCTGTATTGTTCGTTGCATTTCATCGAATGAACACCTTTTAACGATTGGCAAATTCCTTGCATCTGAGTACTGATTATAAGTGTCCTGATTTCTGAGTACTAGCTAGAGACAACGGGCAATGGAAGAACGAGCACGTGCTTATAACCGCTAGGAATTTTCACTGACAGATACTACTACATATTCACCTTTCCAACACTATTCAGCCCCAAACAAACCGATGAAACCCAACTGAAATCGGTAACCTTCGTGACCATGCTTCATGTTGATGTTGGTCCATAAATTCTAAACCTAGCATTAGGCGAACCAAAATTGCTGTTTCCGGGTGAGCAATAGAAAAATCATCTGCATTTACGTGCTGTATAAGACTTCACATTTCATCGAGTGGATACCTTTTAACGAATGGCAAATTCCCTGCGTCTAAGAACTGATTATAAGTGTTCTGATTTCTGAGTACCAGTCAAAGCCAACAGGCAATCCAAGAACGAGCACGTGCTTATTAGATTGAGCAAGTTTTACTAACCGATGCTACTACATCTTCATCTTTTCAACACTATTGAACCTACTGAAGCCCGATGAAACCCAACTGAAGTCAGGGACGCCGTGAAGAGAAGGACCACGGAGGATTTTTTCCACGGTCCCTGAACAAATAAGCTTATGTACTGGACGATTTCAGAGCAATCTTACACAAGTTTTCAGTATGTTGGCAACAATTTTGCGTTTATCCTCCGGTGAGCTAAATTTTGGCTTCGTGCCCGGACGAAATCAACTGTTGTCGTTGAAGTACTCGAACTGGCTGGCGGCCGCGGCGGGGGGGGGGGGGGGAAGTGATCTTTAGTTTAGCACACCGAAATTTAAAAGCATGCTCTCATTAGCGCACTCAAAAAGGGAAACGTGAAAAATATTTTGTGATGCTGGACGTTTGATGGGTTTGAATGATATGTTTCATAAAAGACATCGAAACTGCCATTTAGAGCGTTGCGCAAAGTACATTAGCTGTTGTGAAGTGGCAGGACATTGTTGGAATTTAGGTCCGTAAATGGGGTGTGGGATGCGGATGCATCGTTTTAGGGTTAAAAGGGTTAATTAGCGTCAATAACTTAAGCATGATGACAATGGAGAAACCTCAAGTTGGTGCGTCTTATTTTTTCAGTCATGCTAAAAAGCGATGAGCTTTGATTGTTCTTTTTCACGTCGGCAAGATTGAAGGCAAGTGTCAGTTTTTTGCCACTCAAGGTATTAAGTCAACATATTTTGTTCGAGCTTGACCCCCTGATGATGAGCAATAACACGCCACTTGAACAATCGTCGTTCATTCATTACCGTCCTTCCAAAAGCCTGCTGTCCTCCATACCCTGATGTGTCTGCTCAGTGTGCACGTGTGACGTCACATCACACCAACAACAGCTGCGTCGGTTGCCACAGCTCGGAGAGCGGCTGTAAGTCACGCCATCACACGCTGACGGCGCTTCGCCAACCATCGTTGCACCCGCCGCCTCCACTGGGAACAGGAGTGCCGATTTCAGGAAGGTCGTGTCCAAAGTCCATGGTTGAAACGGCAAAAATCCAGCCGTCGCATGACACCCACCTGCTGCGGGTACCCGTTCAGGTCCTGAAGTAGAAGCAGTCAAGGAGAGACCACCCTAAGCTCACCAAAATGCGTCAAAAAATCAGCTTGTTTATATATTTTCAATCCTCCTAAAAAGCACAAAAACACTACCACATACAAACGATCACTCAAGCCACGCCGCTCAACGTATTCCCTCACTTTATTGGAATGTTAAAAAATAAAATTATCGTCTGTAAGTGAGGTGCATCCTGCATACCAACATGCGACACGACAGAATAATATCGGCTATACGAAAAGTTCCGAATATTTGTATGCATGCCCGTCCAATTTCCACCTTAGTTTTTCTGGATTCCTCAAATGTATAAGCTAATCGGCACCTCTTGCTGGGAGCATGCGCGGAGACGTGCACGGAGCTGGGACGATCTCGCGGGTGGGCATTTAGCCAGCGGCAAGCGCTGTGAAGGTCGCCGTCGGCTGTCGGGGCAGAGAAAGGTCGGCACGGCAGGGGAGCCCGCCCGCGCGGCATCGCCGCTGCCGCGGCTTATAAGGCCCGGATCTGGAGCTCTCAGCATCAGTCGCTTACTGCAGCCGACCGAGCACCACAGATCTGAGCATCACAGAGCCATGCAGCTGGTGAGTGGTGTGTGCTGTAGTCGCCCAAACAGCGGCCGTGCACCGGGCGACCGAACAAGGATTAACAGGCAGACGTGGCACTGGGCAGGCCCCATGACAATCTGATACCCGCAGTGGCTAACGCATCTCCAGGATAGGGAGCTCCATTATTGTTACAGAAACATGCCCAGTCGAGGACTTTCAAGTTATCTGCTTTTCCAATCACAGACTGGATAACCAGGCAAGTTCGAGAACTTCCAAATGCGTAACAAATGTTTGGGCAATCACGTGTTAGTAGACAATAAAGATAAGAGTTCTGTGGATTAAAACGAATTGCCAGAAGCAATTACGTATTTGCTAATTAGTAGCCAGAGACTTCTTTTGGTTGAACTCCCAAATCACGCGTTTTTCTTGTCAACATGGTGCACATATATTGCAGGCATTGTCCTAAATAACGCGCTGGCCTTTTCCCTAGCTCGTCTTTGCTACACTGGTGGTTGCGGCTGCGGCTGCGCCGCAAAACTACAACGCTAATGAGTTCGTGACGTCTGGACTGCCCGAGATCCGCATTCTCAGCCAGAGGTTCGATCAGGATCCCAACACTGGAAGCTACGAGTACAGCTACGAACAGGACAACGGACAGGCGGTAAGTTTTTGAGGACTTTATTTCACTCATTTCACATGATGACACTGGATTTCTCATCCAGTGAACTGTTGACACGTTCTGACTAAATACGTTTGATTAGGGAGCGAGTCATCCGTATACATTGACAGCGATGTACTTGTTAGTCAGGAGCGTAACATAAGTCGCAGCCAAGCCGGGTGCGGTTGGTCTGAGTCTTGCACTTCATGCTGTCCATACTTCTGGGTACGGGGATACGAAGACTCACTTTTATGATCGGTGCATAAATCACACTTCACATGAAAAGGCCATCGGTTCTAACTTTGTTGTGGCAGTGTCTTTTTCGTTTGTGCGTCGGTTTTGCAGCGCATAGTTCTAGGGATCAGCCTTCACCGATATTAGACATAGTGTGCAATCTGTTTTTGCAGGTGGCTGAGACAGGTCAGGTGTACCCTGGACCTCAGCCAGAGACAGGCAGCCTCACCCAGCAGGGCAACTACCAGTTCGTGGGCGATGACGGCAACACCTACCAAGTCAGCTACGTGGCCGACGAGGGAGGCTACCAGCCGCAGGGCGCCCACCTGCCGGTGGCGCCCGCTCAGATCCCGGAGTATGAACAGCTGAGGATTGAACACCCCGAGCTGTTCTGGGCAGAGCAGCAGCAATACGTCTAGGAATATCAGTCGTTTAGGCCGCACTGTGATATCGTCATCAACCCAGATTAACGTTTGTAGGTGGAGCGCACCACCGAGGGGCTCGCTACATTTACTTGAGTTTAATGCCGCCTACGCGAACAAACTCAAGCTTTGCTAAGAAATGAGATGATGAAAGTCATCTACACATCCTTTTCTTACATTCGTGCGGCTCTCTTTCTTGCGGTTGTATTGTACGCCTACAGACACTATTGGTGTCTCCTGAAATGCCGTGAATGAGTACTGTGTGATGTCTTTGTGCGATGCGTGCTAGTTGTTACCAATACACTTACGTAAAGACGTGACGTGTTGTCATGGCAGCCCCGGGCTCGATTTTTAAATTGAAGCGGAAGGGCTTATTGTTGGAGCAGAACACTGAAAAGTGAGTGCTTTGTTCCAGCCTGCAAACGTGCTTGCTTGACGTGCTTGCCAGCCAGCTTGACGTGCTGAACGTTTGATGTGCACAAAGATATCAGATATGGGAAGGATGATGGAAGTTCCATTGCTCTGAAGAAGCACACTGCACTACGGGTCATAGTACATGACATTTAGTTCAAGGCCGAGTCCGAGTCCTGGTGTTCTGGGCTTGAATCGAGTTTTTTTAAACTTTATTCGGTCATCATTAAATAGCCCGAGTCTACGGTCAACTGCAGTTATCTTTACAGCTAGTGCTTTGGAGTCTGCGTTCGAAACCTTTGGTGGATATTGTAGCTGTAGCCTAACTGACCTTAGCCTGATTGTAACTCTGCCACCATGGGGCCCCAATAGTTGTCAAGAAGATGTGTCGTTCCTTCCACACGTCCATTCCCCTCCTAATTCCTACAACCGAAGACAGTGATTGCCGTACATAGGTGCTTCCCTTTTGCTTTCTGCGCATCATTCCATCAGTAGGACGTCAAATGAAAAAAAAACACAGGGTCAGTTTAATGAGGCGTAAAGACAAGGTGGCATTGATATCAAGATATTGATATCATATTGTGGTTCATAAAATCCTTGTCCTGACGTTAAGCCAAACACAATGTTAATTTCAAGGTAAGCAATAAAACAACAGGCTATTTCCATATCCCCTGCACCTGAGTGCTGGTTATTAAAACTCAAGTGCAGGAAATGTGAATGGCTCGACATTTCTTTTCTCGGCCCGGATCATCGCATGGGTCATGGAATTGCAACATTTTAGTAACGTGATTATGACGTTATGAATGCTAAGGTGACATTGAAATACTCTCCCCGCAATAGTCTTCCCATCTTCGCGGGTGTGTAGCTCAGAAACCAGAGGGACTTAGATCTGAAGATGGGCAGGGCTGTGAACTGCATGGAATAATCTTCAAGATGGGTTTCCAATTCGACATGTCATAGGAATGAGGAATACTCCCCTCAAATCAAAAAGAACGAGCACGTGCTCATAATCTTTACAAAGTTTTCCTGGCCGATACTCCTACGTCTTATATCACCTACCTACTTCTGTTCAGCATATAAGTATCCACACATAAGGTGGCTGACCTACGGCAGGTCAAAGGCACGCCATGCATTCAGGGAAGACAATTACTTTGGAACCGTTCCCTATGATGCAACGACAGAGTGCTGGATGAAACCATACATCTATGAAATACTTTCTTAAGCAACACATCATCTGAGCTAGGAAGCTTGATCGACCTAGGATCAGTTATGAAGATCAGATAATGTCAGAACCTTTTTTTTTACATCTAGAGCTTGCTATATTGCATAGGCTGTGGTGCTCACTTAAGTGAAAAAAAATGTTCATCCAATTTGCTTGGCAATCGGCATCGTAACGAATCAAAAATAAACATCTATGGCGCTCAAGTAAAGACATAGGCATCGGGGGGCGGGGAGGGAGACAGTTACTACGCCCCTGTGCTGAACCTTAAGCGCGGCTGCTACAACCGGCTACAGGCTAATCCAGTCAAACAAAAAGCAAACCCTGAAAGTTACTCAACTCACCCTGCAGCTGGTGGGTGAATGAGAAGTCAGGGGTTCTAGCAAACTGAGCTGTCGGGGCGGGCTTTACCTGCAATGCTCACTTCAAGCCTAGAAAACGTCAGGCAAGAAATACTTGCTGAGGACCTGTAGCTGTTGCTATTCAATTGCCATGGAATGGTTGTTGTTGGAGACCACTGCCAGCTTACCGTACAAAAGGTGTAAAAAAGCAGAGTGTCTATTCTTGTTAAGTGTTTGTGCATAAAGTTACCACTATGTACAACCGATAGCCTAGACACCACTGGCATCGCTGGATTCTGTCACTCGAATCAAATGAAAGAGTAGATGGTCGTCGGTGAATAGATGTACATAAGGGTGTGTCATCAGTAACAAAAGCAACGGAGACAAGAAATTGTTTGGCGCAGGAGTCCAAAAGTACACGGCATAGCAAAAGTTCTTCCCCAAAACTTAAATTTGTGAGGCGCGAGTCGATCGAAATTACCCGAAAACCGATGCCCGGCGTTGCATTCACCCTACGCTGAACGACGTGCTCTGCCGCAGGTAACACCAATCCGTTGGTGGCAAGCGGCACAAAATATATTTGCGTATAGAAACGATGCTACCGAGCGCTCGTTAAGCCGTCGTACGAGAATGTCCCGGTATAGAGGTCCTAACATTCGGATGCGGACATTGCCCGATTGATTGTCTTTTGGCGGAAACTTATGTGCTGTTGAGTATGAACTCGTACGAGCATGCTGGTTAGCATTGCTATAGATTTTCACTTATCTGAGACAACTCACGTGATGCAAAAAAACTGTGTATAAACTGTGTATGAATCAAGATATATTGTCTGGTGTACCACTTAATACATACAGCAAGTTCTGCAGCCTGCACCACGGACGTAGAGAGGAGGGCGGAGGGGGGGGGGGGGGGGAGGCGGTAGGGTGACCCCATGGAACATCTTGCTCCTTGCCGAGCCTGTGTATTCGATGCACCAGCCCAAACAGCAACTGCTCACAGACTGCAAACCTGAAACACGTGTTGGCAGAGACCGCACGGTAGCAGAAGTACCGTCGCAGCTGGGCTCCACATATTGCCGAAGCTCCAGCTCCAGCCGCAGACGTCCTTGGCAGTGCGGCGCTGCGTCGCACTCCTGGTGTGAACCAGATGGGGCAAAATAGCCAGCGGTGACTGCACTTTGTTCCGCAGCTCGCAGCAACCGAAGTCTCGCAATGGGAACTGTGAGACTGGTCCGTGCTAGGGAATCAGTTCGGTGTGCCTCACGGCCTCGAAGTTTACGGCTGAGATGGCGAAATCCCTGGACTGAAGAATACCTTTGGTTTGCTGCTCACGAGCGGCGCGACGATCGGAACCACTTGTTCGCGGACGATATGGTTATTATCCCACACCATGTCTAGCAGCAGGTGTTCCAGACGGACCCAGTGCCCGTTACGCTGGAGGACTGGCTGCACCGTGGCCTATCTGAGCTGTCGCAGGTCGCGGAGCAGCGCGATGCTCCGAAACAAGTTGCGTAAGCCAAAGTCGCAGCCGCTGTTTTGCCGGATGGTGAACCATTCCGACGCATAGCGACCGACCACGCGCTGGACGAGGCTCTTGAGAGCGCTTCTGGAGGTCTTGGTAGAGATGTGAGCTAGGAGCAGACAAGCGGCCCCACCTGAAAATAGGAGGGAATATATTGGAACAATACGTTACTAACCGAGCATTAAAAAATACATTCAAGTGGTGCAATACAAATATTATTACGCCTTTTTGGTGTATATAATTATATCGACATCCACAGTCCTTATATGTGACGGAATACATGTCAACAGATATACTAGTAAGCATGAACCAACCAGCAAAGGATGCGACGCACTACGCACGGCGCGAGGTATGATAATAAGTGAATGCTCAACAGTAAGGACATGACATATCAATAGATACTTGGTTAACTTTGAACACTCATTGCTATAAATTCGAAGATAATAGGCTTTCATATTTGCCTGAGATGGTTCGATGGTCCGATTCGCCACCGGGCTGCCACGTTTGGGACCGAGCTGTTTGGAACGCCTGAGGCCAGAAGGTACAGCAACTGCTGTTTGGTGCTCATCTGCTGAATCAGGTCGACCGGCAGGTTTGGCACGTGTACCAACCTAGGCTTGAATGCCACAACGTCTCTCCCCCAGATCTCTCCGGCCCAGGCCGCGCCTTCCAAGCTCAGCAGCAGATGGAGGAGGTTCGGCTCGTTGCCATGCAGCTGTCAGATTAACCTGTGCACGGGTGATTCGGTGGCCAGCTCAAACAGTCGGAACACGCCGCCTATTGCTTCGGATTTGACGGCCGTGCCATCGCAGCCGAGCACATTGATGTGACCGTCGCACTGCGGGCTCACTGAGCGTAGCCCGTTGAACAAGTGCAGGGCGCGGCCGAAGTCGGACGTAAAATGAGTCACGTAGCGACTGCCTGGCTCAGTGATGACAACCACGTGTTTTTCGACGGCATTCGTCTGGCTCCGTGTGGCTCATGTAGCTCCTACCTTCGTGGCAGTCGGAGTAGAGGATGTCAAACCTGACTTGTGGGTTTATTCACTCCTTTCTCGCTCTGTCTCTTGCACAGCAGATATTCTTAGGATCTACGATATTTGATTTCAAGTAGCCAGCCCGTCTCTGCTGTCTTGTTGAAAGGCGTCGATAATAGCAGCAGCGGCCCGGTTCGAGTCACCGTAGCTGTCAACCACCAGTGCGGTGCTAGTCAGATCGTTAGCGTTATAATGTACAGTGACAGTGGTCTCAACCGGAAAAAAACAATCGGCGTCGTCGCCACCTCCTACCATGTACGGAATCGTGTAAGAGTCCGTGCCCTCGGCTGAGTCGTCAGCGCTGGGACCACTTAGTCCCGGAGAGGGCTCGGGGTCAGCACTAGCCGCCAGCGCTGGCTCAGCAGGTGGCGCGGGCTCAGCAGTTGGCAGGGAAGGCGTCTCAGGTTCAGCAGCAGACACCGCCTCACTGGCGGCCGAGCCACGACGCCCCTGAAGTTGTTTGGCCATCCTCCGCACGTCGCGAGCCTTCCTTGTCGCAATCGTGCCCCGGTCATATGACCACAGGGTAAGCTTCCGGTGCCTGTACTGTCCTTCATGGCAGCTTCCTCTTGATACACTATGTACACATTGGGGCATGGAAAGCTGCACTGAGGCTTACACTTTCATTTCACGGCATCAAGAACCTTGTTGAATTACGCGAAGGCGGCTTTGCTGTGTCACTCTCTTTTTGTTCCATTTCTTGCTGAATGCTCTGTTGGAATGATATCAATCCTTCTCGATCAATTTTGTCACGTATTTTAGATCGTGAACAGGGATCACTCCACAGGTCTACAGCACAATGATAACTGCCAAAGTGGTCTTGAAGATGGTGTTAATAAGATTCCTCTCCGATTCACCCAGCCACCTGATGTAGCTCAAGGTTTTCCCGTAGTCGGCAGTTGGTGGTGGGACAGAAGAGCGGTGTGGCCTACCACAAAATGTAATCGGCACTTCTACCTGGACGAAGGCGCGGAGTCATTCGCGGAGCTCGGACGACCTGGCGGGGGCCAGTTAGCCGGCAATAAGTACTGACAAGGTCACCGTCGGCTGGCGGGGCAGTGATAGGTTGGCACGATGGGGTAGCCCGCCGGCGCGGCCTCGCCGCTACCGCCGCTTATAAGGCTCGGAGCTGGAGCTCTCAGCATCAGTCGCTTGCTGCAGCCGTCCCAGCACCACAGATCTGAGCACCACAGAGCCATGAAGCTGGTGAGTGGTGTATGCTGTAGTCGACCGAACAGCGGCCATGTACCGGGCGACCGAACGAGAAGATAAACAGACAAATGCGGTATGGGGCTCGTCCCATGCAAAGCTGCTGCTCGTAGTGTTTAATGCATCTACAGGCTAGGGTATTGAATGACCGCTACAATAGCACGCACAGCCAATAAATTCCAGTTAAGTGTTTTTTTTTTCAATAATTGACTGCGTGTTCCTGGCAACGTTTGGAAAATTCCAAAGGTGTGGTAATATTTGTGCTGTCTTATGCTGATAGCCAACGAAAAGGCAGCTTTTTTAGCTTAGAAAGGGTAGCAGCCATGGAGCTTTTGTTCATAAGTAGGGATAAAGTTCCCATGATTGTTCACTGAATGATGTTTTTTTCTTGTCAAAATGGTGCACATATATTGCAAGCACTGCCCTAGCTGACGCGCTGACCTTCTCCCTAGTTCGTCTTTGCTACACTGGTGGCTGCGGTTA